AGCACACACAATTCTTAAAATAATAAACAACAACAACCAAAAAACAGATAACATGCTAGAAGAGGGAACAAGGGCCAATGTACGGAGATTTGTCAGAAGGTGAGACAGTGGCACAAGGAAGAAGAAAACTATGCCTCGCCCGAAATCCAAAGCCTCGAGGTCTTCTTCTTTGTCTGTCCTTCGGTTGCATTCCCAGACAGCGTGTAATGGCCACTTGCTTGATGATTCTCACGCCCTTATTGAAGGTGAGAGAACATGTCCTCAGCATTAAGGACCTATTCTCTGACAATGTAATTTATGTTGTATCATGTCCCTATGTCTTCCTAGAGGAGTTATCTCTAGAGGAACAGACAGACACAGAGACCACAAAGTGGTGACCTGTAAGTTCCTTTGACTGTAGGGGACATCTGCCTGCCAGACTGGACTAACACATACATACATACATACATACATACATACATACATACATACATATATATGTGTGTCTAAAACACTTCCAAGCACATTTGAAACAAAGACTACAGGAAACAGAGCAAATGGAAGCAGAGCTCCTAGTTGCCTGCAGAACAACAGGACTAGGCAGTGGGTTTCCAGGGATTAGGGGAAACTTGGTGTTCTCCCAGGGCATTTCCATAATATGGCTTCTTCACTGCCTATTGCAAACATCTTTGTACTTGTGTTTTATTTTTCAGGAAGAAAAATCAAGGAAGTAACTGAGCATCCTGCTCTTTCCCTTCTGAGACAGGTGAGAGCAGAGATCACCCAACATGGAGCTCACCTCCCAAATGCACTCTTCTTTCATGCAGGTCTTTGTTCTAGTGCACCTTGCTGTCTGGGAAGTATCACAGCATGCTCCATGCCCCTTTCTTTATCTCAAGAAGCTGTCTTCATGAACAAGCATTCTGCTTCCTTCTAGAAGACAAGTTAAATCTGCTTCCCTTCCCTGCCAAAAAGTAGTCATGGAATCCCCTATTAAGGAATCAGATGGTCAATGACATGAGGGTGAAGGTAAGTGGCAGGGACGGGGGGGGGTAAGGATAATAAGTTCACTCAAGATGAGAGGGAAGGTCACAGACAACTTCTCCCTTCTTCAGGTCAGAACTGAGTGAAAAGTTCATTTGCAAAGCAAATTATGTGGAAGAGCCAGATATAAAATCATACAACATTAAAAAAGAAAACACAAAACTATGGTCAATGAGTAAGGGGAAAACATGTAATGAGCTCAGTGGGATGTACATTGTCTTGCATCCTATCACAAACATGGCTAGACAAACTTCCTTTACACATGAAACCAAACATACACAGACACACACGGACACACACACAGACACACACACACAGACACACACAGACACACACACAGAAACACACACAGACACACATACACATACACACACACACACACACACACACACACAAAAAAAAAAAATGTGGGCTGCTCATTTACTTGTCAGTGAATGAACAATATATATGTTGCAAAGGTGAAAAGTTCAAGGCTCCAGATCTCTGGGTGTTTGACAAGACAGCAGACAAGATGAGATTGCTTTCTCTGCTGTTGTCACAGGAAACCTCCAAGAGAGTGGGAATATACAAACTCTGTCCCCCAAGTCTGTGATTCAATAGGAAATCTGGTCAAATCTCACAAACTCCTGCAAGTTCTAAACCTAAGCTCAAACTCCTCCTGGAACACACACAGAGCTCTTGGCACTACAGGAAAAGTATTAATTACACTGGTCAGACCCAGCAGCCTTGGGCTAAACGACCAACCCTTCATCACACATTGAACACACTGAAGATTTTCCCTTTGCATGTGTGCAAGGAGGTTGTCATAATTGCACATATACAAGTGCCAATGGTTCAAATTTACATGAAATCTGTTTAATGCTTTGGGGAAAAGAAAAGGTAATGCACTAAAATGGGAGGGAGGCAGTGATGAGGCTTAGCCCAAATTTCATAAACAATCCGAGGGAGATGTCTGAAGTGGCACTGTGCATGGTGTCTCAGTGATTAGAAAAGAGAAGGAAAGGCCATGCTACAGCTGCTTCCTCTCCAAGAGTAGACTGACTCTCTCCACCCCATCATTCACTAAAGCTACAGGAGCCAGGAAACTGGAAATATGTACTAAATAGTAAATTCTTCTGACTTGTCACCCTTCTGTAGATGAACACTCTGAAGGGAATTGTGTCATGACAGACGGAAAAGGCCTGGGGGTGAGTAACTCTCACTTCCACAGTACTGCACCTCCTTTCCCCCTCCATTTGAGCCAATGATGGTGAGGATGGACAGTCTGAAATGCCCGTAGTCCCCAACTATCTGCATCTTTGGTTTCTTCTATTTTCTCTGTATTTCTTCCTCATCTATTCTCTCTACTTATCACTTCCTTCCTCCTTGTTTACTTCTTTTAATTACCTGTAGACAGTACACAGAACAGAACATAAGGGTTCTTTCAGGATGAGTAGGTATTCTATTACTGAAGCCATCTCTTGTGCCTTCCTGCTGTCTTCATCAAAATGCCTGACCTAGCATCCACCACACATTGATATCCATCCATGTTTCTGACAGCTTATACTTCTTCAGTTGGCAAACTACTTGCAGAACCTGGGCATTGTCTAGTGGGACAGTGCTTGCATTGGTGTGTTTAAATCCTCAACTAAGCCTCCAGTGCCATGGACAGTGTTGCATACCACACTACTTCCTCATATTGAAGAATAGCTTATAAAGATTAACCTCTTGGATACTTAAGAGGATGGCTTTGACAAAGTTTCCCCTAAACTCTTGAAAGCAGAAGCATCATATTCTTATCAGATTCATAATCATGAAGAGGTTTTTACATGCAAGTGCTAAACTATGTCTATGTGTATCAGAGTCAGTTTCACTTGATATGTAATCCATTGCCTAAAGGACTATAATTCAGTCATGTCTTCATGGTGTCTGAGTCCAGGTAATATCCCACTCACGACTTTTCCCCCAAAGCCTGATGATGCTCCCAATCTGATATTCACTCTCTGAGAAGGAAGCACCATCTGGCCTCTGCTCCATGAAAGGGCCACTTAACTATCTGGGAAATTATGTGGCTTTAAATTTGGACCCACCAACTGTGATCTCTTCAGGATATTGTCTGTACCTGAGAACTGCTTGACCCAAAGTCTGGGACCAGAGGAACCTTTAGAGTCACCAGATTTCTTGTGAAATGGGAGCTTACACAGTTGTAGATACCACTGTGTTGTACTGGGTTAAGGGATCTGTGAGTTGGTGGTGAGGGAGGACATAGTTGTGGTTCAAATGCAAAGAATATATCCTGAGAGAGAATATTCAAATGTTTTATTATCGAACTATTTAAACAATATCACCATCTGTGCATGTTAAGGCATGAAAATAATCTGGTGTCTCTGGGATCTTGAAACCAAGACCTTTCCAAGTACACAGGGATAAGATATCTCAAAAACACAAACAAACAATAAACAGAGAAACTAAAGAACATTTAGAAGCCCAGAAACTGCTGTCTTTCTTCTGGGTGTGCAAGGATTCTATACTCCAAGGATGAGGAAGCTGGCAAAAAGTTATCTCAGGATTTGTGAACAATGAGTTCTATAATGGAATCAGAATTGGTGCAGGTGTCACCTTTGCTAATAGGACAATTTCTTAGTTATCATTCTATTGCTGTGAAGAGACACCGTGCCTACAGTGACTTATAACAGAAAACATTTTATTGGGATTTTATTTACATGTTCAGAAGATTATTGAATGATCATGGTGCAAGCATGTATGAAGCAGTTAGGATTGGGCCTGGAGCAGTATCTGATGAGATTGGGTGCATTCAGGGTAGTATGGCTATAGACCTGGAGCAGTATCTGAATGCTTACATCTGCTTTACAACCTCCAAGACCCCTCATAGTGAAATAGCATCTCCAATGAGGCCACAGCTTCCATTCTTCCTAAACTATTCACAAACTGGGAACCCATCTTATAGGATATCTAAAGTTATAAAGAGACAAAGCAACCATAGCGACACTTATGAATGAAAACACCTAATTTGGGCTAGCTTACAGTTCAGAGATTTAGTTCATTATTGTCATGGCAGGAGGCATGGTGGCATGCAGGCAGACATGGTGCTGGGGAAGGTGCAGAGAGTTCCATATCTTGATCCGCAGGCAGCAGAAGCAACTGTGTGCCACACTGAGTATAGCTTGAGCATAGGAGACCTTGAATCCCAGTCCCACAGTAACAGAGTTTCTCCAACAAGTTCACACCTACTCTAGCAAAACCACACCTCCTAATAGTGCCACACCCCCTGGAAGCCATGTTGTTTCAAGCCACCCCACAACCCAACAAAATATTATCCTGTGGAAGCTATTCCCATTCAGGCCTCCACACACATGCAGTGTGCTGCAGAAGATTAGGCCAGCTGTCTCCTCCTTGTTTTATCCCTAGATCACTATCTGTTATCTATTATTTCTTCTCCTTTCCTTCCATTTACTTCCTCACAATATCCTGGTCCATCAATCCTTCTAACTCTCCATTCACTGTTACATTTTCTCTCCAAGCAGCTGCCCAGTAGCTTTTGATTTCACAGAATCTCTATCTTCACAGACCCTTTGGATTCCTTAACTTCTTTCTTCCCTGTACCATCTTTATCTCACACTCCCAATTACATGCACCCACTTTCTGCTTACAAGAAGGTCATTCTGGGGAGATGAGACAGACAAGTATTATATTCCTGCAAACCTGATTTGTTTAGGTCATTCTTCTTCCCTTTAAGTGTGCAGGTTCCTCCTCTTTTAAGTAAGCATGATGTCATGATGTCATGCAGATGCTGTGTGAAAATGTAATAAATAGGGAAACAGTATGTCACTAAAGCACTACAGAGATGCTGCCAACCCTGATTACACATACTCTCCACAATTTAAGGTCACAGAAGAAGCCAGCAGGATAAGATAAGCCCAAAAGTCTGCCAGGAACCTGTGGCTCAGGTCAATCTCAGAAGAACCTGTTCCTCCATGGCATGCCACCTGTCTGTGAAAGGCACAGTAAGAAGGCATCAGGTGAGAAGAATGTGTGGGGACACAGCACTTCTGGCTTTCCTGTCTCTGTTCTAGCGTGTGGTGTGGGTATGTGCCATAGGTCCTGCTCTACCCTTGGGTGCACTTGGGTGACCAATTTACTTAAAACCTGATATGTGAGAACAGGAATTCACAATCTAGGTACAATTTGTTCTCTATAATTCCATATGAAATTTGGTGAGTCTTTTCAAAAGTGAATCCCAGAACCTAGATTTATACTGTGGGATTGAAGAATCAGAGTTCAGAAGTACCTTCAAATTATAATATATGTCTACAAGGCCTCAGTGTGTGAATATTGCTTGTTATTTCAGCCCACCAGACAACCTAGAAATATTTCTGACTCTACCCAGTACTTGACATCACATACCCACTGAACAAAGTAAGGCAGATGGGGAATTTCTCTTGTGAAGGAAGATCAGAGGCCACAAGATGAAACAAGAACTGGCTCTTATTCAGATCTGGTGTGTATCCAATTTCTCACTCTCTCTGAGCCAGAAGATGTGCAAACCAGACCATGAACAAGTCCCCAGGGCAGACTTGAATGACCAGTTCTCTCTCATCCTGACAAAACATTGCAGTAAATTTCCCATCTGACCCAGTGCTAATGGGACAAATCTTCTCCACATCAGGACCCAATAGGAGGCATGAGGTTATCAAGATTCATGGGGTGCCAGAAAGTAAGCATTTCCCAACCTGTGAGGAGATGGACGAACCTGAAGAGGAAAATGAGTAAACATGTAAGTCACCCATTGACGCACCCCTACCCCCCATAGTGTGGGATTCTCTTATAATACTGACGTCAAAATGTGGCTTTCTCTTTTGAAACTGGGATCTCATCTGATTCTTTGTTTCCCTACATCAATTGCCCATTCAAATCCTTTGAGGTGCAACATTGAAGCTGAGGGAAATCTCTCATGCATTCTCTAACCTTTTTCTGATATGGGGCAACCTCGTCTACCCATATATTGGGGTTTCTCAACATCCAGGTCAGGTTTCCATGTGTAGACCATATGATTCTCTCCTTCTATGCCAGGGGTGGTAGTCACTGTGTGCCAGAAGAGGATTCCATTGTGGATGCAGGGGCTTTGAACTTGGATAGTAGGCAAGTGTGCAGACTTTATGGGGCAGGAGGAAGTGATCATGACAGAGCAGTGGGGACTCAATGACACTTGTTTTCTTGCTTTTTCTCGGCCCCAGATTGGTGAATGAACCCCACGAAGATAAGGAGATGGTGGACATTGGGCACCATGGGCATATCTTGGAACCCTGAACAACAACCACCACAGGTGTACCTCAAATGAAAAACAATTTCCAACAGTGAAGATTCTAGCATCAGTGTTTCTATTGTATGCCACATGTATTTTGGGACTTGATTCTTACAGTGTGCAAAATGTGTTAGCGTTGTTCACACCCTATTGCAAGCACTCTGAGAACACTTTTTCTGCTCCTGTGACACTTGGCAGGCATTGTTCTCACCATTTGTGGAGCACTCCATAAGCTTTGCTCTTACTGAGTCATCACCTGTATGTTAGAGCTTTCCAATCTCCGTGTCAAACCCTCTGTTCCCAGGGTAATATGTTGTTTCTTGGCTTAGTCATAATGTGCACCTGATCCACTGTGAGAATTGTCCTTTCCCTTACTGGAACTCTGTCCATAGCTCACTTACTCTTTTACAATGTCTCACATAGTATTTTACTCATTATATGAAAGCTACAGTGGATGTCAGTATTCCACTGAGCATGAAATTACCTAAAGCATGTTGCTATAGTGTTGTCAAACATACCTTGGGAATCACATTCTATCAATCCTTTTCAGAATTGAAGTGCACTGTCCTGACATTTATGTTTTCTTTATTGAAAACAGTGCTGTCTTTAATTTACAGAATTTCCTCTGTATTTGGAAACACGCACGCACGCGCACCCGCACGCGCGCGAGCGCGCGCGCACACACACACACACACACACACACACACACACACACACACACACACACACATCCACTGTGCATCCACTGTGCACAACTATTATTAGACTGAAACAGGAACAATATGCTTTGCAATTAATGGGAGACCCAAGCAGGAAAAAAATACCTTGGAAGTTAATGGGACACCCAAAAAAGAAAATATACTTTGCAATTAATTGGGGTACCAAACAAGAAAAATATACCTTTCAAGTTAATGGGTGACCAAAGCAGGGAAATATACCTTGCAGGATAAGGGATCTGTTTGTACATAAGCTGTTAAGAATAAATTTCTGTTTGTCCTGTGTAGGTTATGGTTTCTGTTGGTAGTTAATGAATAGTTTCTTGTTTGTCCTGTGGTAAGTCCTTTCATGTTAAGGGTTCTATTTGTTATTCAGAACACATTCCTGTTTCTTAGATGCGATGGGAACTTCAAACATGTTTTTCAATCTACACTAAGCTTTAATCCCCATGCACATGATGTATGTCTTTACTCTTGTTCCTTCCCTTTCATTGTATCTTTCTAATAATGAAAGCAGACAAGTCTGTCACCCCTGGGAACACCTTATCTCTGCTATAAAAGGAACTTCAAGAGGTCAGCAGGGGCTGCTATCTCAAACCATCACTTTGGTGAGACAGTCAGATGGCCAGCCATGTGTACATCCTCAAATACAGCTTGCTATAATTGGGTACTTGTGGATTTTATTTCTTTTCTCCTCATGATTCTCCTGTTAAACCTATTACCCATCTTTCTCCAAAAGAAAGGTGTCCAGAGAGTTTGTTGTCAGGGCTTATCTGGTTTAATAAAGTGGCATGTAGAGGTTCTCCAAGATCTATGACTTCATTCGTCTTGATAGTTGCCTAGGGTTCCAATACCAAGCTTGTTTCCCTCAGGTTGTGCATGTCTTAAGTCCAATTAGCCTTTGTTGTGATTCATAGGTGTAATAGCTGGGAGGATTGATGGGTACTTCTCTTCTTTCGTGCCTTCTGATACCCTGATATGTAGCCCCCAGGGAAGAGGGTTGCAATTCAGTTCCAGTGCAAGGACCTACTGGACCTATTTCTGAAATGCCTGGTGTCTTCAGTAAACGAGACTCACCTCCCACCTCTAGGAGACAGCCAAGGGCATTGGCAATATCTTGTATGTTTTGTGTGTTTTTATAAAACCCTGAAATTGAACACAAATGGGCCTTCTCATCCTTGGTGTTGTGGGTTTCACTGTGTGTTCTTTGGCCCTTAGAATGAGGAAGGTCAGCCCTGATGGGGAAATTTCATTTAAACAGTATATGTGTGTTTATAGGCAGACATGTGTGTGTGTGTGTGTGTGTGTGTGTGTGTGTGTGTGTGTGTGTGTGTGTGTTTTCTATAGCGTTGGATTAATAGTATGTTTTCTTATGACTTTTTCAGAAAACCATACTGTTGTTTTACCTTCCTTCCTCCTTCTGTATTTCTCTCTTGCCACTTCACTAAATAGAGCACCCCCTTTTGACATTTCCCCAGTCAGATGATCTGTTCCCTGGTATTTGCATCTCTGTTTCTTTCCCACCACAGAAATAGTATCTTTCTCCTTTTCTCGGGATATGTACTCACATCTGAAGAGTTTTAGTTAGGAAATTTCTATGAGAGAAATCATGTGGCATTTATCTTTCTGTGACTGTGTTACTTCATCAATATGATTTTGTTGTATTAGCTTGGCCACAGACTGTTGGTCTTATAATAAATAATACATCACAGTCCCACATACCCACAGACACAGACACACACACACACACACACACACACACACACACAGACACACACACACACACACTCACTAAAATTTGTGTTATTCTAGAGAAACCTGACTAATACACTGAGGAATTCTGGCTTTTCTATGACTGCCCTAAATCCATTTATAGTCCACTGTGAGCTCATTTCTGGGTGTGTAGACTCTGCAAACCCTAGTAGATGTGTCTTAAAAAACCTGTGGATCAGGGATCATTGTAGAAGAGGGATTGGAATCACCAGAAGAACTAGGAGTTTCCTGTATAGTTGGGTGTTGTAGAAATGTCAGAAGCTACAATCATAAATTCACACCAACATGACAGATTAAACATGAGCTGAAAATGAACAACAGCAGACATGCTAAAGTAGATGAGGAAATCCCCTCAAGGCCTCAAAACTACACAAAGAACTACAGGCAAGTGAAGAATCCTGAGCATGGGAGAAATGATTTTCCCCAGTGTAGAGTACAACAACTCGTTATGTCATATGAAATGGTCAGTCTTGAAAGCATAGACACAGGCAACATTATACAGATTGAGTATAATTATTGCACGAATTTAAAAAAGGAGTAGGAAGAATTGTATAGGAGGGCTTGAAGGGCAGAGAGGGAAAAGAAAGTAAGGTAATTATCATCTCAGGAATGTTAAAGAAATAATTTTCTATGACTGGCACAATTAATTAAGCACTGTAATTTGGAAACACGCCTTATACAACACTTGGCATGGGCCTGATCCAGTTCTAATGTGGGTACGAAGATCAGTATGCATATACTATAAAGAAGTGAAATCTCCCAGGTGGCTTCCTGAAAGATTAGTTAAATAAATAAATAAATAATAACTTAAGTCATTCCAGAGGTAATTGCCCCTTCTGAGAATTTTTTTCCTTTCTGTTTTACAGAAATAAAGATTCACATCACACTCGGAACCATCCTGCTGTTGGGGTCTCACTCATAGGCAAGGTTTGATCAAGGACCAATCAATCCAGACAAGTTGCTAGCATCCCTGTATGGACACCCATAGGAAAGTACACTAACCCTACATGCCCTGACTTCAAGTCACATCTCTCTAAGGACTGTGGAATGTGGAAATAAGTCAGCCTATCTGTGGGTTTATAATACTGGCACAGGCTTTAATGAAAATGTGAGTTGCATTACCAAACCTAAAATCGTCCCTAGGGTCAATGGACAACCAGGGCCCTTCCCTTCGGAATGCAATTTTGTAAGCCTGATGAATGCCATGTGATACAGCACATTCTAGGAATGCACACATAATAGTCATACTTACTTTACTGCCGTACCCGAAATCACTTACATTGACACCCTTGGAGATGATTGGTCTATTACACCCCAGGTTTTTGGCAATTACAAATATGCCACAACCTCCTGCCATGCCACCCCAGGAAAACCGGCATGTTGGAATAAAATAGCTCCCATCCTTGTCTCTGATTGTGAGCCCACAGACCAGGTTAGAGAAACCATGATCCAGGAGAAAATCCAATTTATGACTGACCCCCTAATTCCTCACATAGCTTATCATCCCTTATTTCTTCCCAAATCTAGCGGAGTGGACTGATCCCTATACATCAGAAATAATAGCTGCCACTCACTATGCTTTAAACGTCACCAACCCCAGTTTGGCAGAAGATTGCTGGCTGTGCTTAGCTTTAGGTAGTCAGTGGCCTTGAGCAGTCCCCATGTTCAATGACTCTTTGATACCCATCAATGGTTCCCTGCTGACAAGTAATGGTCAGCTCAGCATTCCTTTTAGAATTCAACCTACAGGATTTAGTTATTCTTTGTGCTTCTATAAATATTTTAAGAACCATTGTTTTGGTATAGTTGTAGGCCAAGTTTCCTTTACCTCATCTTTCTCAGTGATTAATGTGTCCACAGCTCTCTGTGCCAGACCAGGACAGATTCTTTTTTTTCTGTTTCTTTTATTTTTTATATATTTGAATTACAAACACGATTGAATTACATGTCGATCCCAGTTCCCTTCTCCCTCCCTTCCTCCTCTACCACCCCCCAACTAAAATCCTATCTGTCATATGTCTTTTCTTCTAATCTACACCTGACTCAAAATTTCTGCTTCCAGGACAGATTATTATTTGTAGAAATAAGTTAGCATACTCCATGCTGCCAGCCAATTGGACAGGGCTATGTGCCCTGGCCACCATCCTCCCAGATATAGAGATTTTACCTGGGGACAAGCCTGTCCCTATATCTAGCATGGAGTGTCTCATCCCCAGATGTAAGAGGGCTGTTCCATTCATTCCCCTATTGGTAGGTCTTGGTGTGGCAGGGAGCTCTAGCCACTGGCTCCACTAGCATGGGAGTAGCCTTAAAGACCTATTCTCAACTGTTACAGCAAAATGCTGCTGATGAAAAGACTATTTATAGATCCATCCAGTATCTACAAGATCAGTTTGACTCTAGCAGAGGTAGTCCTACAAAATGGGAGAGATCTAGGCTTAGTTACTTCAGTCAAGGGAGGCATGTGCTTGACTTTACAGGAGAAATACTGCTTTTAGGGTAACAAATAAGGCATTGTTCGAGATCGAATAATAAAACATTAAGAAGACCTTGAAAACCGCCATAGAGAACTGTTGGACCAACCTATTTGGAGTGCCTGGAGTGGATTGCTGCCCTATCTTCTTTCCCTGTTAGACCTCTTGGTTGGCCTATTAATTCTTCTATTGCTCAGACCTTTTCTTTTTAATAAATTGATGCCCTTCATTGAGAATCAGAAAGATGCTATCAAAACGCAGCCTGTACAGGTGCACTATCATTACCTTGATTTGGCTGAAATGAGAGACAGCTGTGATGAACTCTAATCATAAGTCATATGACCAAGTCATCTGCAAGATCACTGAGTTCATTCCTTATTTGGTGAGCAGGGCTGGGTAGCCAATGATGGGCAATAGAGGGTGCGCTGAGAGTCCTTGTTTGAGACAAGCCCCTAAGACAGGAATGGCCATCATGCAATGTCATCCCTAATGGCAAGTAGGGTTGTCCACACTCTCTAACCCATGATTCCCCCTGACATAAAACAGTCACCGTCCCCTCAAGGATATCCCAACCGTTGGCCCTCTAATTATATTAAAGAAAATGGGGACCTGCAGAGACCCTGAATGTAGATAGCATAATAATTGGCATCTTGTGCCTTCTATTACTAATTTAGGGACTTACACCCAATTAAGTTTCAGGCTCTTCACATCTACTTATCCTCTTGTATAGCATATGCCCATGTCTGTGGTCAGGAGAGCCCCAGCTGCAGCCCTAACTCTACCTGGCTGATGGCCACCTTCCCACACATCCTGCTTGGCTGGGCGTGACACAATCCCAGCTTTATCTCCTGGCAACAAATCTTGCAGATTGCTAGCCTCCTTCCCCCCTTCTTGATTCTCTTATTCCACTTAAGCCCTGCTTTCCTACCAGGCAACACTAGGCCAACATACTACCTGAAAATACATAGAAAACAGAAACTAATGAACAAAACACATACCCAACAAGGACAAAACCAGAAATCAGTACCCAGGCATATAACATTCCCAGTCCCAGATGTCTACACACCAGCATAAAAACACAATCAATAATAGCCTGGGCACAATGTATCCACAAAATCCAAGTCAACAGCAGGCCATGAATATTCCAACATAGGCAAGGAACAAGTAAAAGACCTTAAAACAACCCAAATAAAGATGACAGAGGTCCTCAAGTAATAAATAAATCCCATAAGGAACCCAAGATAATACAAAGAAACAGGTTGAAGAAATAAACTTACCCTATAAATATAGCTTGGAAAACACCAGAAACCATGGAAAGAAACAAATGAAAATGTTGAAGAGCTGAAAATGAAAAGAGAATTAATAAAGAAAAAAACAAATTAAGGAATTCACAGAGAAACTACAGACGGAAGCGTCACCAGCAGAGTACAAGAAATGAAAGAAAGAATATCAGATGTTGAAAATAAAATGGAAGAAATGAATACATAGGTGAAAGCATATGTTACATCTAAAAAATTCCTGACCTGAAACATCAAGGAATTGGGAGTCAAGGTAAAGACCAAACCCAGGATAATAATAAGACGAGTAGAAGGAAAATAAGACCAACTCAAAGGCCTAGAAAATATTTTGAAAAAAAAATTATAATGGTTTCCTGATCAAAGAAAATGATGTCTGTAAAGGTACAAAAACATACAAGAACACTGTCTTAGTCAGGGTTTCTGTTGCAGTACAGAGACCACATGAGCTTGGCGACTCATAAAGAAAAATATTTAGTTGGTGTGGCTTAAAGTTTCAGAGATTTAGTCCATGATTGTCATGGTGGGACATGGTGTCATACAGGCAGACATGGTGCTGGAGAGGTGTGTGAACATTCTGTTTCTTCATCCACAGTCAACAAGAATTGAACCATCTCACTGGGTGTAGCTTAAGCATAGAATCTTCAAAGCTTATACCCATGGTGGCACATTTTCTCCACATGTCCACATCTACTCTAACAAAGCCACAAGTCCTAAAACTGCTATATGCTTTGGAGGCCTTTTTCTTCCAAACCTACACAAACAATAAATAGATTGGTCCAAAAAGAACATCCCCTCACCACATAGTGATGAAGAGAAAAGATGTAAAGAGTAAGGAAAGAATATTAAGAGCAAGGGGTAAAATGAAATAATACACAAAGGCAGACATGTTAGAATTAATCAATGGGTTTCTCAATGGACATTCTATAAGCCAGAAAATCCTGGACACAAATGTTGTAGAGTGTAAGACAATACAGATGCCAGCCTTGACTACAGACAGCAAACTTTAAATCATCACAGATACAGGAAATAAGATATTTCATGATGAAGTCAAAATTAATGATATTTATTTGGAAATCTAGCAGAAATGAAGGTGTTGGGAGGAAAACTACAACGAAAGAAGGTAGAACACAACCATGAAAATACATGGAATAAATAATCTGAGAACCACAAGACAAAAAGAAAGGTAGTATGCATTCACACATCACCAGCAACAACAACAAAAACAATCACCACCACAACCAACAACAAAACAACAGGAAGCAAGAATTATGAGTCATGGATATTTCTAAATGCCAGTGGACTCAATTACCCCACAAAAAGACAAATACTAACAGAATGGATGCAAAACAGTGTCTGTAGCATCAAAGAAATACAGCTCAACATGCTGGATAGACAACTCATTGGGGCAAAAGTATGGGAAAAGATATTCCAAACAAATGATCCTAATAGGTAAATTTTGTGTAGCCATTTTTAACATTTAACAAAATAGATTTCAAAACAAAACAAATCAGAAGAGATAAGGAAAAATTACTAACATGGCTATTCAAATCCTAAAATCTGTGCCCTTAATTAAAGGACACCCAAGTTTGTAAAAGAAACACTTCTACAGCTTAAATCACATACTTCCCCTCACTCACTGATAGTGGGGAGACTTCAATACTCCACCCTGACCAATAAACAAGTCATTCAAACAGAAACTAAACAGAAAAATAATGGAGCTAACAGACAGAAAAAAATGGCCTTAAAAGATATTTGTAGAATATATCATGCTAATACACAAAATGCACTTTATTCTCACCACCATATGGAACACTCTAAAACAAGTACCAACCGATATAGGAAAAGTGAAATAACACCCTGTATCATATCAGACCACTATGGATTAAAGCTGGGTTTTTAGAACAACAGAAACAAGAAGAAAGATTAGAAACATATCAAAACTGAGTAACTCTGAACTTAATGAAAAAAATGGGTCAAGACAAATATGAAGTAAAACAATAAGTACTTTCTAGAACTGAATGATAATAAGTGCACAACATACTCAAACTTTTGAACACAAAGAAAGTCACGGGGAGGGGCAAGTTCACAGCACTAATTGTCTACATAAAAAACTAAAACAAGAACAAAACAAAAACCTGGGAAGATTTCAAGCTAACAACAAAAAAGCACACCTAAAACCTCTAGAACAAATAGAAGAAATCTTCCTCCAAATAAGTAGATGGTAATAAATAATCAAACTGACTGCTGAAATCACAAAAATGTAGATAAAGAACGCAATACAAAGAATAAATGAAAAGAATTGGAACTTTGAGAAGGTCAATAATGTAGACAAAGTTATCCAAATTATTTAAAGGACAGAGAGAGAATATCCAAATTAACAAAATCAGAAATGAAAGGAGGGACATAACAACAGACACTGAGGAAATCTAGAGATTCATAAGAATACATGTTAAAAACCTCTACTCCACCAAATTGGAAAATCTAAATTAAATGAATAATTTCCTCAGTAGTATCACTTTCCATAAGCAATTTACACAGGCCAATTACACATAATAAAAAAGAAGTCTGCCACCCAAAAACATCACAAAACACAGCAAAAATTCCAGGGACAGATGGTTCAATCAAAAATTCTAACAGACATTCAAAAAGACTTAATACCAACAATCTCCATATTATTACACAAAATAGGAACAGGAAGAACAATGCCTAATTCATTTTATGTGGCCCTGGTTACGCTGATACCCAAACCACATAAAGATCCCACAAAGAAAAAGAATGAGAGACTAATTTCTCCTATGGACATACAT